TGTTAGTCTATAACTGTAATTATTGTTTTTTTTTTTGTTTTTTCTTTTAACATATAAAATATATTTAATATTTATTTTGATTAATATTTTATATATTTTTAAAATAATAAAATGATATAAAAACTAAAAATTAATTAAAGCACAAAAAATATTGTCAAAACGAAACCTTAATCAAAGAAAATAAAATTGAAAAGTATTGGTAAAGCAAAAAAGAATTCAAGATATCATGCAATGAGGCTCATATATTTGATACCATATAAAAGAAATTAAGGTATGAAAAAGATAAAAGAGAAAGCAGAAAGAAAGACATTATTTTATAATAATGAAATTGTCATATAAAAGAGCTGTTATATAGAGGTTTAGAAAATTTATTGACAAAAAAATTCTAAGTCTATTATAATACCAATAATATTAAATCTAAGATTTAGTCTTTATGATTGATTCTTTAAATCCCATAACACCCCTTTTAATTTTGAACTTGTTAGGTGTGAAAATTCTACATTAAAAAAATAAAAAGAAACTTGTGAGGTAAATGCAAGAAAATATACTTTTATTGCTATCAATTAATTTTATACTAAAGGTAAGCTTTGTGTTGAAATTTAGATATGAAATTTTAACATGATATTAGAGTGTAAGTTTCATTCTTAATAAACTTAAGATCCCATGACAATTTGGGCCTACATGAGAAGATAACATATTGAGCTCATATGCCATCATTTTCAATTAATTTTAAACTAAAAACAAATTTTATATTAAAACTAACATGCAAAATTCTCAAAACTTACAAAAAAAAAAAAAAAAATTGGTGGTTAGGATTGGTAAGAAATTGGGACAACTTGTAATTTCCTCGTTGAGGCAGATCCAAGATTGCTAATTTCGGGATGTAAACGACTTGCTCCCCCTATCAAATGGCATGAAAGGGTTGTTCGAAGGGTTTTTTGTTCACCAACAAAAACTTACTAAGTTGGTACTCATAATTTAAAAATTTTAATTTGAGGTCAAAATTAAAGATTAAATCTTTGTATTGTTAAAAAATTAACTCTCCCTTAATGTATCAAAAAAAAAAAAAAGAAAAAGAAAAAGAAAAAAAGCTTTTGTTTTGGAAAATGGTTATTTTATTTTATTTTGCCAAAACAAATGGTTAAATTAATAATGAAAAAACTTGAAGGATTAATTTCTAGACAATTATGTAAGATCAGGGCTTTATTTTAACCATTTTGGCGGAAGAGAGGAGGAGAAGGTGGCAGTTGGCATTGGCCAACGATTCCACTGCCTTTGTTTTCTGGGCAAAGAAATTGTC